TCTTTTATCCTGTATATCCCTTTTTATATATCATCCAGTTATTTTTCTCTATTTTCTTTAGGGAGAAGTTTTCAAAATGATCTTCTAGTTCACTAAGTTTTTCAGCTTTATCTTTTCTATTAACCTACTCACATATTATATCCTTTCATAATTAAACTTTTTGCCAGTAGTTCCACTTTCAAAAACTGTAGTTCCTGTTTCATGTAGTTTATTTCTTTGCATAATCTAATTATGCTTATTTAAACTTCTTAGTTTAATAGTCATAGTGTCTCAGCTCTGGTAACTCTAATAGTTTGTTTTTGAAGTAGATATGGTTTCAGATTTGTTATTTTGGTCAGTGTTATCAACTATTCTTTCTGATAATGTGTATAGGCAGGAGGCGTGGGCCAGATGTAGTCTTTTGTAGGCAAGATAATGTTAAGGAGAGCAGAGAGGATTTTCTCTAGGGCAGAAATACCCAAGTACCAGAGAACTCTAGAAAATCACTAGTGTTTAATAAGCCCCTCATCAAGTCATTCTTCAGCTTTGAAATTCACCTTCTAATACTTTCCCCCAGGCAAAGCCATCCTAGGGATGAGTTACTGTAAATTATAACTCATTAATCATGAAGTTTGAGCAAAGGGGAATAAGGAGAATGAATGTTCTGGCTAGTCAGTCTGCATCTATTTAATGCAACCCTTGATCCAAGCACAATTTCTTTACTGCTTTGATTTTTATTATGGATGACAACTATGTTCAGAACTATTGCCCTTGCTTCTAGTTAGCTAGCAAGTACTGTATTCATTGTTCAAAGGTGAAGGTAAGAGATTTATTTTTGATTTATCATATCACAGATGATAGCTTTCCATTCTCCCAAGCCTGCAGCTACTGTCAAGCCCTTCCACACTAATATAAAAGAGCCTTCCACTTCCCCCAGAGGTTTAACAGCTTTTTGCAACCTTCTGTCATGAGCAAGATAGACTCATCCTAGCTCCTGGCTTTAAGCAGTGATGGTAACTTTTATTCATTTTTCATGGGGAACATTTTGTTCCTGATAGCCCATAATAGCTATCAGCCAATGCCAGCTTCTCATCCTTGTAGTACAGAAATATATTTTATTCCTGTCATGTTTATGTTTCTATTACATGTGTTTTTGCTTTATTTGATTTTCTATTTTTAAACTTTTATCTATCATTTCTGTGTATAGAATAAAGCAAGGCACAACAAAGCATGAAGTTACTTCACCAGCTAAAAACTTTTGTTACTTTTTAACATTCTATTTCAATGTTATACAAATGATCAATACCCAAATAATTTGCTTTAAAATGTTACATATATTTGAAAATAAAAACCTTCTGGCTGAAGAGTGGGGGCATGGTAATATAATATGAAGATATTGAACTCTACAGAAAACATGTTTACATAGCAGAATTATAAGTGGATGAATTCTATTTCTGGAAATGAGACAATTTTATTTTTAAACAGATATCAACAAAAATACAGACCTGATAAAATAATACATTTATTTATTTTTAGTAGAATTACATAAAATAATACAGTAGAATTACATAAAATAATTTAGTAGAATTACATAAAATAATACATTTATTTATTTTTAGTAGAATTACATAAAATTACGATGACCAATTCCATTTCTTATATAGCTATATATTTAATTTCAACATATAAATTTATTTTAAAATGACACTTAAATTACAAATATATAAACATGTCTGCATAATAAATTTGAAGTTTCTGTTGTTTAATATATTTAATAATTTTATAGCAGTAATTAAAATTTAAACATCTATCGGTATATTTTCCTTTAAAGATAAAATGTTTATTATAAATAAACCTTAAGTTTAAAGAAATTTGAGTGTGATAAAAAATATCTAACACATAGGGTTAAAAATTCTAATTTTAACCAAATTTGTTCTATGTGGGTAACTCTAGTCTTAAAAATCTGCACTATGCCTCTGCTAAAAAGGCTTGCTAAACAACAACAAAATGATAGCACTAGATTATAACTTAAATACTAAATATCCATGAGTCCATATGAAGAAGTAATTAAGTAAGTATAGGAGAAGTGACAAGTACTCCTAGGTTGAAGAAATTTAATTATCGTAAAAGGGTTCAGGGAAAATAGAAATTCACCATTAGAGTGCCACAATTTTAAGTGCCTCAGGATATACCCAGCAATATATGCTAAAGTTAAGTTAAGCAGAAACATGAAATTGCACAGTTTTTAAGTATCTTCCTCCAAGTATTTATTAATTACAAAGAGAAAAATAGTAACTTGCAGTGGAGAAGCTTGGTAGATATTATTTTAACCAGTGATCAAGATGAAGTCACTTTAGGCCTAGGGATGTCATTTAGTGGAAGAGTACTGGCCAAGTTTGCACAAGGATATCACCATCATGTTACTGAACTTAAAGAGGTCAGTATGGTAAATTTAATGTTATATGATTTTACAATTAAAAAGGATTAGCACTACGACATTCTGACCTCATATACCTGCTGATACGATGCATGCAGGGCACAACATCATTTCTTGCCATTCTTCCCAATAATGCAAAACCACAGTCTAATCACAAGAAAACAAAAATAATCTCAAACTGAGAAACATTCTACTAATAATTGATTAACACTTTCCAAAAGTCTCAAAGCCAAGCTGGGTGTGGTGGTATATGCCTGTAATCCCAGCAATTTGGGAAGCTGAAGCAGGAGGACTTCATACTCAAGCTCAGCCTGAGAAACTTAGAGAATTAGTGAACCTGTCTCAAAAAGAAAAATAAAGTTTAAAAAAGTCTGACAGTTTAGCTTAGCATGAAATCACTAGGTTTAATCTCAGCACAAAAAAGGGAAAATGACAGCAAAAGACATTCTCAAAGCCATGAAAGACAAGGGAAGATTAAGGAACCATCACAGGTGATAGAAAGTAAGGACACAGGACAACTCAGGGCAATGTGGGATCTTAGGTTGCATATATGAACAGAAAAGAAAAGTCATTAGGAGTATAACTGGTGAAATCAGAATAGTTTATAGTCTAATTAACAGAATTGCACAGGGTTAATTTCTTAATTTTGATGAGTGTACTACGGTTGTTTAAGGTATTAACATGAAGGGAAAGGAAGGGAAGTTTATACAGGAACTAAATATTTTCACAATTTTAAAAATCTAAAATTATAATAACATATTTTAAAAAGAGCCTAAACCTCCCTTTTTTACTGGGGATTGAACCCAGAGCCTTGATGCATGCTAGGCAAGTGCTCTATAAGGGAATTACATCCCCAGCCCTTTTAGAATTATTTTTTGAGGCAGGTCTCACTAAGTTGCCCAAGCTGGTCTTCAATCTGCTGGCCTCCTGCCTCAAGCTTCCAAGTACTTAGAACTATAGGTGTGTACCATTGCACCAGCTGACATTAAATTCTTTAAAACTTCTGGTAGAAATGTAGATCCATGCACATTAAAATTAAAGAGACAGTTGAGGTAATTTTCCTAAATCAATTAGTTTTAATTTCAAGTATTTATCATGGCTGTTTTGTACAGGCACTCTTCAAGACATTGGGTTATAGTTTTGAATAAATACAAATAGTTCTAATATTACTTGATATTTATAGAGAGTAAATGCTCTATTTCCACTCTTTATCTGAATTTGCTGATGCGGACTTGAACTTAATCTCAGTTAGTATACAGGCTTTTTCCAAATGCAAATGGCACACATAATATTCAGTGAATTGACATAGAGATATTGTTAGTTTTTAAAGATTAAATGCAATTGGCACTTCCATGGGAATTTGAAGTCTAGGCAAAAATTAGATTAGATCACCCAATAGTTCCCAAATCTGAAGTCAGTGACAAAATGTTCACTGGTCTAAGGCAAAAATGTGAAAAATAATAGCAAAATAAAACTATACTTTTTAATTTAAGGAAGAGTTCATGAAATTATTATCTCATCATTTTATGTTAAAATGTCTCTTCCTTATGAAATGATAGACTTCAATTTAACTTATTACAGAAAAGTGAAAAGTTGACAAATCTATGTTTCTTCTCTCACGTGTGTATGGCTGTGTCCAAAGAGTAAAAGAAAAATATGGTGAATGCTTGAAATTTTTGCTTAAATTTTAAAAAAGCAGTAAAAACACGTTGCCATTAATCCACTTTGAGAAAGTCCCATTTACTTCAAACACACTTACCCTGTCACTTCTTGAAGGAGTTCTAGAAGTCCTCTTTTGTGGGTATATTCTGTTGTGCTGTCAGGCTGAATATATTCAAGACATTAAACTCTCATGGTCATTTTAATTTGGAGGGAGAGCCAAAATTCACACTGTGAGGTGAATGAGGTGCTTGAGGACATGCAATGGTGTTTCTATGGGCCTGCCTTTCTCCTGGGATAGCCCTGGGTAACAGCATTCACTGTATTTTATTTTAATAGTACATGGTGATTCATCATGGGTTCACTATATTTTTTCATCATACCTCATAAAAAGACACAAAAGAGGACTTCAGGAACTGCTTCAGAAGTTATCAATAATGAAGGGAGAGGTGGGAGTGGTAACATACATCTGTAATCCCAGCACTTGGGAGCCTGATGCAGAAGAATTACTATGAGTTTGAGGCCAATTACTATGAGTTTGGGAGCCTGATGCAGAAGAATTACTATGAGTTTGAGTGAGCTCAAAGGTAGCCAAGCCACATAATGAGACCCTGTCTCAAAAAAAAAAAAAAAAAAAGAAGGGAGAAGTGTCCTAGAAGCTACAGGAAATATTTTGAGGGAAAAAAAAAAAAAAAAAAAGAAGGGAGAAGTGTCCTAGAAGCTACAGGAAATATTTTGAGGGGGACTAATGACAATCTGTATTTTACTGTAATAAATTTTTTAAAAACTTAAATACCATATATATTGATTACAGCTTGTGCACATGTGTGTGTGTGTGTACTTTACTGCTGTTTGACATTCAGTCTTTTTTTTTTTGGTACCGGGAATCAAACGCAGGACCTTGTGCTTGCCAGGCAGGCACTTGTGCAGCTGAACCACATCCCCAGCCCGGCATTCAGTCTTAAAATCACTGCTGTCCACCATTTTCTTTCCTCATTTTGACATTAAGGAAGACTGTTATGTTTACATCATTATATATAGTGAAATACAGCTGATTCAGTCATCCTTACTTAATCACATTTCATTAATTACTGTTCACCTATCAAAGTTAATCCTCTGTGCTTGCTCCCTCAAAGCCCCTGATTTCAGTCTGCCTTAACCAGTCCTAACCCAATCATCCTGGAATACGCTTTTGTGCAAGAAAGATTTTTTACTCCAAAAAATCAAGATTGTAACTCGATTTATGGAAAATATTTAACATTAATGAGAAAATATTTCATCATTATTTTTCATTTGTTTCATATATTCTCAAAATATTAAAGAAAATATTGAGGACAGCCCTTGGTTACACAAATTCTGCCCTAAGAATCTATAACATTTAAAAAATAACAGCACTAAATTTTAGTATATTCTGGGCCACCAAGTAAACAGCCATTAGGTATCAGTCATAAATCCAAGAATGAAACATATATCAATAAATACATTATGGCATACTTTGAAAGCTATTACTCTACCATTACAAGTCCAAGTACAAATATTGTATCTTTCTATTTGAGAGGGAGGAGGATGCATCATAGTGAGTATAAATTTGCATAAATAAGGCACATATTTAAGGCAAACTTTAAATTTTTAAGCACGGTGAAAAGTATTAGCATCATCCCTAATATGAACTAATGTTTTGATATTCTTTTTTTCCACTGTAGAATGAGAGAACCCAGAATAATGTAGTACTCATCAAAAGAAGCTCAACTGGTTTCCCCACTCCATTTAATTATGAATGATAACATGCAAGATGTTGACTCAAAGATAACCACTAATCAGGGACAAAAATCTAGAAATTTCTGAAAAACAAACTACATTTCTGTTTGTCCAATCTAATTGCTTCCTAATGTATCAAAATGGGAAGTAAATCTCTTCCTTATGTACATAACTTTCTACTGAAAAATAAAGATAAAATAGCAGGATATCTCCATGAGACTAAGTATTTCCTGGACCAGGACCAACAAACTTCCAGAGGAAACTTAAATAAGGACTCAATCATTACTTGCCTAGCATAAAGGAGATGAAAATTGAGAAGTTCCTACCATATATATGTTCATAGATAATGACATTTCTTTAAACAGAATTTCAAACTCAAAGATATTACAAATATAAGATCTGAGGGTCAGGATGACTGTTTTGTACTAAGTAAACCAACCCTCGCTCTGAATTTCCCATTTTCACCAAATTGGGCATTCCTCTGTCTCCACTAAAGCTGCAGTCCATTGCTATTGTTGTTTCAGTGTAGGTGGGAAAACTATGCATACAAGTATATTCTCTCACCAAGAGCTGTTAGTAAAAGCTACATATACTTATCAGATACCTGGGAATGGCACTCTGACCCCTGAGACCTATTCCTATTAGAATCTGGAGGTAAAGAGGAGCTGTCCTCTGTTTTTACATCTGCAGTGGCATGGGGGAAAGGGAAATTGGGCATAAAGCGCTTAAGAAACCAGAAGTCACTATTTCCAGTGCCGGTGGCTGAGCACATGTCATATGCACAAGCCTGTGATAAAGATCCATTGCCTCCTGCTTGTACCAGATTGTTAGGGAAATTGCAGTCATCATAGAAATGTTCTTGAATTGTGAGCTTGCCTCTATGTTTGATCTTCTGATAGATGTGTATAGCAGAAATCATCATGACAGAGAGTAGAAAAAGAAAAGAAAGCACAGCCAGAGAAATGACCAAGTATTTAGTGGATGGATTTACCTTCAGAGAATGTGTGGGTGGACTCCGAAACTGCAGGTAGGGCTCTGAGAAGCCGTCCACCAGCAGGATGCTGAGTGAGGCAGTGGTGGAGAGAGCTGGTTGACCATGATCCTGAACAAGAATGATAAGTTTCTGCACCATGGGATCTCTCTCAGTTATCTGCCTCAGTGTACGGATTTCCCCATTTTGTCGTTGAACAGAGAATAACCCAAGGTCAGTAGCTTTAAGTAGATGGTATGAAAGCCAAGAATTCTGACCTGAGTCACCATCAACAGCCACCACTTTTGTCACGAGATAACTGACTTCTGCAGACCTGGGCACCAGGTCATTACAGGGCAAAGTACCATTTTGCAGGGGGTACAAGATCATTGGACGGTTGTCATTGTCATCCAGTACAACCACTCTGACAGTAACTTGGGTACTCAGTGACAGGAGACCCCCATCAGTTGCCTTCACCACAAACTGAAAATTTTGAATGGCCTCATAATCCATGGTTCTTAGTGCATAGAGCTTCCCATTGTCTGAATTTATGGAGATATAAGCAAATACTGATAGATCTCCACTCCTAGGGGGCAGCAGAGAATATGTTACTTGGGCATTCTCACCCAAATCTAAATCTTCAGCATGGACTTTACCAATAAAAATTGCAGGGCTATTGTTTTCTCGAACAGTTAAGATGTAAGAACCTTCCTGAAACACTGGAGGATTGTCATTAATGTCAGATATTAGCACCTCTATCACAGTCTCTGTGGACAGGTCAGGTGGTCCAGTATCCATGGCAACAAGGGTGATGTTGTAGCTTGAGATATCCTCCCGATCCAAGCTTCTGTCAGTGACTAGCGAGTAAGAATTTCGTAATGTAGGTTTGACTACAAAAGGAAGGTCTTCTTCTTTGAGGAAGCAGGTGATTTTTCCTCCCCCTCGCACATCCCGGTCGCGGATCGTGAAGAGCGCCACTATAGTCTGTGGTGGTGAGTCCTCAGGAAGAGGGCTGCACACAGAAGAAACCGTCACTTCAGGAGGATTGTCATTTATATCAACGACATCCACCAGGACTTTGCTATGTGCAGAGAGGCCTCCTCCATCTGTAGCTTGAATATCAATGTCATATGTTTCTGTGGCTTCAAAATCTAGGGGTCCTCGGAGTCGAATCTCTCCAGTTTGAGAGTCAATCTGAAACGTCTGGAGAACTGTTTCTGGATTTTGAGCTAAAGAGTAAGTTATCTCCTTGTTGGAGCCCTCATCTAGGTCCATGGCTGTCACCAGGACCACAAAAGAACCGTTGGCGCTATTCTCTGGTACCTGAGCGCGGTACACCAGGCGTGAGAACTGGGGCACATGGTCGTTGACATCCAGAATCACCACATGGATATGGGCTGTGCCAGACTTGGGTGGGGACCCACCATCCACTGCTGTAATTGTTAAGTTGATTTCAGGCTGCTCCTCTCTGTCCAGGGGCTTGTCCAGCACTAGCTCGGCGTATTTGGGCCTGTGGCTGCGGAAGCGGGTGTGCAGGTGGAAATATGCATTGGGGCTCAGGGTGTAGTTCTGGAGACCGTTGAGGCCGACGTCCAGATCCTGGGCGCTCTGCAGAGGAAAACGTGAACCCAAGGGGGTGCTTTCTGGGATCTTTAACACAGGCTCGTTGTTTAGAAAAATGGGTGCATTGTCATTGATATCAAATACCCTGACTTCCGCACGGAAGGACTGCAAGGGCTCCACTAGGACAATTTCAAAGTGCAAAACGCACGGGTCGGCTTTGCCACAAAGAGACTCCCGATCCAGTTTCTCCTTTACAAACAAATCTCCTGTCTTGCGGTGGAGCCGGAAGTGCAGCTTGTTGCCCTCGGGAACCAGCCGCGCCCCGCGCGCAGACAGTTTCCCCACCTCCAGTCCTAAGTCCTTAGCCACATTGGCCACAAATGAGCCACTTTCCATCTCCTCCGCCACGGAGTAGCGGATGGTTGCTGTACTCCCCACAGACACGCACATAAAAAGGAGAAGAGACCCCACTTGCCTGCTTTGCCATGTTTTCCTGCGCGCAACCGCCATTGGTCCCCTCAAACGCTTTCCCTGCAGCCGCTACCACCTGCTGCGGATTAACTATCACTTTTCTGACACAGGTTCCTGCAACAGGGCTCTCCGATTTCCCAGCGTCTAACCGCAGCGCCGCTGAAAGGAGCCAAGCCAGATAAGCTGTTTTGCACCTGAAAGAAAACTTGCACTGAGCTCAACTCCCCAGTCTATCGAATATATTAATAGGTATGCGCTCATTCTGGAGGGCTGGACAGAAGTGAGAAGTTTGTTGTCAGAGCAACCGTACACTCGCCTGTTAATTCCCTTTCAGGAAGAAAGAAGCTCTTGGGAACTGAGAAACCAATGAGGATACTGCCTCGAGATGAAGTCATTGTATCTCCGGAGCCCGCTGGGCCACTGAAGCAATGGGCAAACAGCTTTGCCCTGAGACTGAAGAAGTGGCAAAGGATCCTGCAGTATCTTCTGGGGGCCCAAAAGAGATACATGGGAAGGAAGGGTTGTGGAGAGAGGGCGGGGAAGTCTGGCAAAAAGTCAGTAGAAAACGAAAAGGTGGCAGGCAAATGTCCTTCAGGAACCCAAGGTCCAGTAGGTAAATTAATAGGGGACTAGGTCAACTTGCCTCTTTATTTGTACAAATCCATTCCCTGCCTCAGGACCCTCAAACCTTAGGGAGCATCTGGCTGCTTGTCACTTGATTATGATGGCAATACTATTTACCGGTATGACTCTAATGTATTGGCACAATGTCAAGAGATCTTCAAGCATTATCTAATTTAATACTTGAAAACCCCTAAAGGGAGAAATTATTTCTGTTTAAAAGATGAGGAAACTGAGACATGAGAGATGTCATGCCGAAGTTCCCCTCTCTAGTATTAGAGATAAAATTCAATTATTTTTGCCAACTCCAAAATTTATGCTCTTAATATTTTATTCTGCTTACCTAATATAGGCAAGTTAAATGGGATTAAGGTTTGACTTTGGATTTTAATACAGAAAAATAACATTCAATCCCCCCCTATTCTTTAAAAACAGATGAAGGAACCCCCAAATCAGTCACTTCTTCAGTCACAGCAGTGTAACAACTAGAACTTATCTTTTGATCTCTGTCTCGTGTTCATTGTACAAAGTATTTGATTTCCCCATTCACATGGGGAAATCAAATTTAAACCTCAGATGCTATACAAAAAATTACTACCACTTAAAAAATAATTTTGGAAAACCATATTTTCCAAGAGAAAATAAAGTAAATGAAAACAAGAAGTATACAAAATATTAATGATACCTTAACATAAAAGAGTTAATAGACGTTCAATCTTTCTTGGGGGAGGAGCAGTATCACCATTGCTCAGGTATGTTTTATTGGTATATGTTGGCAATACATAATATTTGCATTTGTTTTAATGTATTGGTACATATAGATATTATATCTTGATCATTTATGATCCTCTTTCCCTCACCCTCCCCATTCCTCCTTTCCTTGATCCCCTTCCCCACCTCAAAATGTCTGTCTTTATTTCACTCTTTAATGTATTTATGTTTTGTATTTCTCATATAAGAGAAAATATGCAATACTTAATTTTCTGTGTCTGACCTATTTCACTTAATTATGGCCTCAAGATCCATCCATTTTCCTGCAAATGTCATGAAGTCACTGTTCTTCATAGCTAAATAAAACTCTTCTCTGTATACTTATGACCCCCTCAATCTTTTAGATATCTTAACATGTAGAGTAAGTGTTCATCCCTCAACTGTTTAGTTTTCCTCTTCTTAAAACTATATATCAAGTGTACAGTGTATAAAACACATAGCCCTTTGAATCTAGCGTATTTTCCTCAGTGTGTTTAGTTCATTCATTTTCATTACCACTTTTTATCTATCATCTGTTGATAGATAATTTGCTTTTATATCTTGGCTATTTACAAGTCTACAATAAACATGGGAGTGCAGATATGTCTTTGACATACTGATTTCATTTCCTTTGGGTATATATACCAAATAGTGGGATTTCTGGATCATAAGGTTCTCTTTCTCTTTCTTCCTTCCTTCCTTCCTTCCTTTCTTCCTTTCTTTCTTTCTTTCTTTCTTTCTTTCTTTCTTTCTTTCTTTCATTTTTTCTTTTCTCATTTATTTTTGCCCTAATGCCAATCAAACCCAAAGCCTTCACACTGAGCTACATCTCCAGGCTTTTAAAACATTTTTTAAAAATTTCAGACAGAATTTTGCTAACTTGCCCAAACTGGGCCCAAACTTGCAGTCGTACTACCTTAGCCTCCCAGACTGCTGGACTTACCGACGTATGCCACCATGCCCCTATTTTTAATTTTTTGAGGAATGTCTATCCTGTTTTCCATAATGATATAATTTCACTCACATGTGGGACCTAAACACGTTGATTTCTCAGAGCTAGATAGCAGAATGATAGTCACCAGGAGCTTTTTTGGGAGCAGTAGCTTGGGGATATGGGGGTCAAAGGATGCAAACTTTCAGTTAGATAGGAAAATATGTTCAAGAGTTCTATGGTGCAACATAGTATTTATAGTTAATAACAATATGTTGTATTCTTGAAAATGCTTAGCAAGTGGATTTTTAGCATTCTCACCATAAAAATTATAAACATGTAAGGTAACACATGTTAATTAGTGCATTTAGTCATTCCATAATATGTATCTTCTTCAAGGCATTGTACTCTACATGAAAACACATATAATTTTGTCTGTAAATTTTAAAATATGAAAGTAATAAAGAAGAAAATGAAAGAAAAGTACTATTTCTTGTTTTTCAATTCATGAAATTTCTTGTTTTAGTGCTGGGGGTGGAACTCTATTTTTAAATTTATGGATTTTTTAAAAAGAACTATTTGGAAATTGATTTATCAAGACTGTTGATGTCAGAAGTTTCTGCATAATTTGTGAATCTCTAGAAAAAATATCTCCTTTAAAAGCCTCCTTTTTGATGATTATATCTCAGCTATCTTTGTGTGTGTATAGTTTGTGTGTGTGTGTGTGTGTGTGTGTGTGTATAGTTCCCTTCCTTCTTTTCTCCTTTTCCCGATCGCAGCTTTTCTTTCCTTTTACAAAAACATGAACATAACAATGAAACTGAATTTCAAAACAGGCTATTAGGACAGCTATAATAGTTGAAACACTGTGTATTATTGTCTTTCTAGTAGTAATTCAAAGTAAAAGATATAGGCAAGATAACTTTTCTATACAATTTTAGCACAAAACTTTCTTTTTAGTGAACTAAGAGAAACTAGCTGTGTAATAATATTACCTATCTTGTGTATACATATACTTTTCTTTTTTTCCTTTCTTTGTTTCCCCTTTCCCCATCACAGTTTGTCTTTTCTTTTGAACAGTTTCTCCCCAGTTCACTATATCTATTGTACATTTTGGATCTCATTTACTTGTTTGTTTTTTTCACACTAGTGACAAAACACAATGTTTATACATATAGGTCTGATTTATTTCACTTATGAGTCTGTTCTTCAGTTGCATCCATTTACCAATAAATGTCTCCATTTTATCCTTTTTATGGCTGAGTAGTACTCCATTACATAAAAAACCACAACTGTTTTATCCATTCTTCAGTTGATGGACATCTGGGGTGTTTCCAAGAGTTACGTTTTTCAAATTGTGCTGCTATAAACATGAATGCATATATATCACTGTGGTATGGTAATTTTAATTCTTCTGGGCAGAAATCCAGAAGGGGAATAGCTGGGTCAAATGGAACCTCCAATCCCAGTTCTTTTAGGAATCTCCACACTGATTTCCAGAGTGGTTGTAGCAGTCTACACTCCCACCAACAGTGGAGAAGGGTTCCTCTCTCCCTACAGCCCCTCCAGCATTTGTTATCAGTTGATTTTTTGATGATAGCCATTCTTTCTGTAGTGAGATGAAATCTCAGTGTTGTTTTAATATGTGCCTCTCAAATGACCAATAATGTTGAAAATTTTTTCATGTATTTATTTGCTATGTTTATTTCTTCATCTGAGAAGTGCCTATTTATCTCTGATGCCCACTTTTGGATTGGGTCTTTGAATTTGGGGTCTGATTTTTTCAGTTACTTATATGTTCTGGATATAAGTCCTTTGTCTATGGGACAACTGGTTATAGTTCTTTCCCACTCTTTGGGTTGTCTTTACACTTTATTGGTGATTTCTTTTGTTCTGGAAAAGCTTTTTAGTAAGGTGAGATCCAACTTGTTGATTCTCTCTACTATTTCCCTCGCAGTCTGGGTTTTGTTCATGAAGTCCCTGCTTACACTTCTGTCTTTGAGATTTTTACATACTTTCTCTTCCAGTAGATTTAGTGTTTCTATTTTAATATTTAGATCCCTTACCCATTTTTACTTTAGTTTAGTGCATGGTGATAAATGGTCTAGCTTTAGTTTTTGACATGAAGAAAGCCAATTTTCCCAGCACCATTTATTAAAGACATTATCTTTCTTCCAGTGAACATGTTTGGCTCCTTTGTCAAAGATATGGTGGCTGAGTATGTTTGCATCTGCATCTTCTACTCTGTTCCACTGATCCTCAGGCCTGTTTTTTTGCCAATACCATCTTGATTTTATCACTGTAGCTTTGTAGTATATTTCAGGTCTGGGATTGTTATGCCCCTGATTTGCGTTCGCTGTCTAGAATTGCTTTCTCTATTCTAGGTCTTTTCCAGTTCCAAATGAATTTCAGGAATGTGTTCCCTAGGTCTATTTAGTGCATTAATAGTATTTTCATTGGAATTGCATTGTCAGTATAGACATTTTCAGAGTATGGCCATTTTCACTATTTTGGTTCTTCCTATCCAAGAACAAGGAATATCTTTCCATTTTCTGATATCCTCCTCAATCTCCTTTGTTAGGGTACTGTAATTTTCACTGTACAGATCCTTTACATCTTTTATTAGAATAATACCTAAGTATTTCATTTTTTTTGGATGATATTGTGAAGGGTATGGTTTCCCTTGTTTCTCTCTCTGAGTTTGTTGCTTGTGTACAGGAATGCTATTGACTTTCAAGTGTTAACTTTGTATCCTACTGCAGTACTGAATTTGGATATTAACTCTAGAAGTCTTTTGGTAGAGTTTTGTCATCTGCTATGTAGAGGATCAAGGTATCTGCAAGTAATGATAATTTTATTTCTTCCTTTCCTACCCTTATCCTTTTATTTCTT